AGATCAGAGAGAATGAAACAATGTGCTGTGAAACAATTCTGCCACAGCATTTTCAAAATTAGATCATAGAAAATGAGTGTCTGTGTTAAAATTTCAGTGAGGAACCACATACCATCTGCAAGTACCTGCAAGGTCCATACATTAGTTACAACTGTGCATTGGGGTACATCTGAAGCTAACTTACCCTGTGTCCTGGATAAAGATATTTTTGATCTTTGTCTCCGAATATGTTTAGTAAAATTTAAATTTCCAGTTTAGCTGAAATGAAGGTTTACAAGACCCTAAATAGGAAAAGTCTGAAGACTTGTGCTTTTCTTTTTCTCACAATGTCATTCAAGGAATATTATACTACAGAGAAGAGTCAAAGTAGGACAACAAGAAATAAAAAATAATCTACTTATATTGAGAACGGCAATTGGGTGTTCTTTAACTGGACAGTAAAGGAACTATTTTAAGTGCTTCCTTTTGCTTCAGACAGGTGGCTCAAGCATGCTATTTGGAGTTCATTTACAGTCAATTGATTCATGGCTAATAACTTAAAAATACTACACTTCCTGAAAGTGTTATAGCCAAAATGTGACAGTCAAGCCTGAAGCCTGAATTAAGTTACCTTCTTTTTAAGAAACAAAAAGCACTGACATTTAACCAAACTGTATTTTCAAGATTGTAGTTGAAATTCATATGAGGAATCCCAGGACAAAGTGGTTTTATTAGCCATATTTATTACCTCTGGTGTGCATTGGAAAAAAAGGAAAATCTTGCTGCAATAATGTCGGTATTTCGGTTAGGAGGTACAGTGCCTTTGCCTTCACTGTGGCTTTTTTATCTATTTTTTTTTTTTGTTTGCTGTCATCCTTCTACTCTCAATCTCACCTGCGCTTCATAAGGAAATTTAAAATACTTTGCAAATATAGCTGATTTAACTCTCATAACGTTTCTGCCAACTAAGTACATCCCCTTCTACAGGAAATAGAGATGCAGAGAAACTGGATAGGAACTTGAGCGAACTACTTACAGCTTGAGGCACTGCTGGGCTAGAACCCATCCTCAAATCTTGGTTGCACTGGAGTCAGCAGTATAACTGCTGTTGAGTCCAGCAGAATCAGCCCCAGTGTCCCAATTCATGGTCCTGTCCCATTTAGTAATAAGCTGGAATAAGCATTGCATCTATGAAAAAAAAAAAGAGTGTTTAGTCAATAGCTTTCCATGTCTTTTCTTCTCATCTTGCAGAATTGGAGTATAAGAGCTCGTTTGCACTCAAATTACCCTTCTGCTCAGTGCTGCAGTTTCTGCAGTGAAAGCACTCTCATAAATTTTATGGGTCTAACCAATGCATCAACTTTAGCATTCTTATTTCACTGTAGCTGAAAAAGAGGGAGGTAAGGGAGAAATCTTTCTTTGAACAATCTTTTGGGATACTTTGCAAAGTTGACAAGGAAAGTTCTTAAAATCCTTACCAGGTTTGATGTTTTATGCATATTCTTATGCAGGGAAGTGGTTTTTTCCCTTCTGTGAAAAGCCATCACTAGGAATATTTGGCCATATCCTGCAGTTAGGGGGAAAAAGTTCTTTAAGTATTCTCAGAGGAATTAAGATAAATATTATATCTTTCAAAATATGTGTCTCCTGGTTTGAGGCTTAAACCACGACAATGTGTTTTTCTTATTATTTCATTCAAAAGCAGTATTTTTTTTTTCTTCTTCTTTTCTTAAAGCCACTGCCTCCTTGTCATGACTCTAAGGAATCTATGCAGGTTTACAAACAGCACTGCAAAATAGCAGAAGAGTACCATGAGGTCAAGAAAGAAATTGCTCTGCTGGAAGAACGAAAGTGAGTAACTTTCCCACAGTATTTACTGTTTTATATTCTCTTTGTAAAATCTGGTTTTAAACATGAGGGATTCACATGATATTTTCTGACCTCATACCTCTGCCTGACGGTCACAGTACAGCACAACAGTTAGGCCATTGATCCATAGGATCAACTGAGGCAATGAAGGACACAGAGCTGTCATAGTTCTGGGCCCTCAGTTGTACAGATGCCCCTTAAACCCTTCATTGACAGCCTCCAGGTCATGTAATGATCTAGTTCAGCTGGTGCGAGTCCTCTTTTTAATTTTAGGGATTTTTTTTCCAATTTATCTTTATGTGTTTAATGAAGAATGTAAGGGATCCTCCATTAGGTTCCGAGTACTTGAAAATATTAGTAAACATTTTTCTGTGAGGTGCATTGTCTCTATGTACATTGACATTTTAGATTTTCATATCCAAAATGCACAAGCTGGAGTCTTTTTTTCTTGTCTATGGCCTATACTCATACCCCTGTTATCTTTGCATGATTATTAAAATGGCAATGTGCACTCTGTGACTCTCAGTCCCTTTCCACAAGAT